CACAACCAGTCTTATAAGCGCATTGTTTGGCCGTCTGAAGAACTAAATAATAATTTTTATGTAAGGTTTTGCATATGCTCACAAATCTGGTTCTGTTTGTTGGCTCCTGTGTCGATATTATTGGAATTATTTCCATCTGTATTACCCGTGTTACCTTCTCAGAGAATTTGTCGGAGATATTGATGAGCTTCACCACAATGCCGCCTAGGTTAGTGAAATTTTAAAGGTAAAGGTTGTCTGCTTCTACAGGATCGTAATGGTTTCAGAATCAAGAGAAGGTAAGGCTAAATTAACCATCTCATCCCGTTCGTCGCAATGATCTATAGGTGTCGTCGCCTTGGCAGCCACTTTAACTAGACGGGCCAGCTTTAACCTACGTTGCTCTATAATTCCATACCTAAGCAATTTATCGTTGTCTTTTTATTATTTTTAATATTATTAATGTTTTTTTGATAGCTAAACTCTGAAGTTTTTGAAAATCTTCTGAATTCATAATCCTAGCCAGACCCCGCTGGAGCTTTAAATTTCTATTACACTAAAAGCCTATTTCTCTTAATTTCATGTTTCGCTTAACTCCTGAATGAAGGCCTGCTGAAGAAGCTCATTAACCCTAACTGAATGATAGGTCACAACAAAGGTATGTCAATATCAATCTATCAAGAGATTCTATGGAAATCGGCTTCTCTTCCTATGTTAGACCACTTCGAGGTCTGAGGATAATCAAATTCAGTTTCAGTACTGTTAAAATAGGGTTGTAAATCTAATCATTTGTGTTTTATGCTAAAGTCAACATAAAATTAAATGAGAAAATCAGAAACTCTGAAACGTGGTTCACCATGAAAAACATAGATTTCAATAAATGCTGAATTTTTAAGAAATCACTAATTCTAACCTTAGGAGACTGAAGACATCTTTGGTAGACTTCTTAACAGCAATAATGCAAACTTTCTATTGAAGATGTGAAGGCCAATATGTTGTGGCCTCGGGTATGGTCGCAGTCTCCTTTCGACTTATAGAAGTGGGTTGACCTCGTTGTCGCAACTTGGTCTTGTGTTCAGGGAGACTGTAGAACGCGTCTCCTTTCGACTTATAGAAGTGGGTTGACCTCGTTGTCGCAACTTGGTCTTGTGTTCAGGGAGACCATGTACTTCGATTTATAGAAGTAGGATGACCTCGTTGTCGCAACTTGGTCTTGTGTTCAGGGATACTATGTAGAATTGCACCGAGTTCCGAAGTCGTCTGCCATAGTAGTTGTCATGATTCCCAGCATCTGACAGTGGACTTGATACATTCTCAAACGAGTCGTCTGCCATAGTAGTTGTCTTGATTCCTAGCATCTGACCGTGGACTTGATACAGTCTCAGACGTTTCGCCGGCATCATGGGTGAGCCTTGCCATTCTCCGCACAAAGATAAGAACTCGTCAACTTGTCTTTGACGAGATCGTATCTTGGTGCGGAGAATGGCAAGGCTCACCC